TTCCGGTTTCGAACCGGAGCATGAAAAACCGGTTTTGGAGCGGTTTCTTTATCTAAAAAGGATTTAATTTATTTAAAAAGATTTACCACGTTTGAATCTTTGCTACATAGCTGGAAAGGTGGTAAATGTGCAAATTTCACCAGTTCGGTTCGATTTGCATTCCAAGTTCTAAATAATTTACTTCATTCATTCGGTTTTCGGGGCGGTTTTTAAACTCGAACCGGTTTAAAACCGCTCCAAAAAATGTATTTATGCTCCGGTTTACAATCTTATTCGCTCCGGTTCGGTTTACATCCCAAGTTCCAAATAATTTACTCCGTAAATTCATCCGGTTTTCGGAGCGGTTTTTAAATTCGAACCGGTTCAAAACCGCTCCAAAGAACGTATTTTTGCTCCGGTTTACAACCCTGATTTGAAGAGAGTCTTAAGTAGATCGTTTTAAGATACATAGAAGACAGGTTTCCGTAAATTTTGGACTTTGATAAACATCCGTGATATATTTTTATATAAAAAGACTAATAGTGAATTCAGTTGCTAGCACTAGTGCGCACTGAGTGCACCCTAAGACTTGTTTGTAGTTAATTGTATTTCATTTCATCTTAAATACATGTTCAAAAAGTATTTAGCCAAAAAATTATCCATACAGATGTTGTGCAGATTTTACTGTGGCTAAGAAATATTTTAAGAGATATTTAATAATCTATTGATTTAACAATTGACTGCAAACAAACCTTAAGGTGCACTCAGTGTGCACTAGTGCAAATAACCAAATTCGCTATAACTATGTATATGTATGAATATATATGTATATCCCAGACAGCCACCTGACTGACGATATTTGTCATCATTTTGATCACAAAATGCCGGCAAAGATGCCAATGTGTCGGCAATTTGATGTCAAAATGATGACAAATAATGTCAGCTGGCTGTCTAGGATATCATATATTAAATATTATTAATTTTCTCTAAATAGAAAGGGAAGTCGATCGGTTTTATTTATTATCGGACATATTTGTGAATTGAGTTGTGGTGCTTCATAAGATGGTGCTTATGTTTGAACTTTCTGCCGCAGACGTTACAGGCAAAGCGTGGCTCGATACCGCACTCCATTCGTTTGTGCAGACTCAAAGACTCTCGCCATTTGTACGTCTTGCCGCACGTGTTGCATGGATAAGATAAGCGGTACCTTAGACCTGAAACATATATGCAACAATTTGATTTTATTTATGTCGGACTGACGATCGATCTCGACGTTGATCGCGTGCATGCTAGAAAACCTCATTCAAGAAAATTAGCTTTGGCAAGGGTTTAGTTTCGATCCTTCTTTTCAATCATTTGCGAGATATCAAATTCGATTTTATAACGGGACACCGCTGTCGTACATGTTCTTATTATTATAAAATATTCTTATAAAATATTCTTATAAAATACTAATGTCCTAGTTACACTAGTAGACGAATAGTGTAGACGAATAGTGATGTATGATCGAAATTTTGGTAACATATGTTACCGGCATTGTATGTCATAAACTCAGTCAGAAATAGTATTTACGTACCGATATTTTTTTCTTCGATTTTATATAAATAATGTAAAGTATTTTTAAAAACCGATTGCTGTGAACATGACGTCGTGAAATATAATAAATATTAAAAACCTAAGTAATGTACCGTAGATTACCAAAAAATACACATATTTTTCGCTCGATGGCGTTATCTAATATTATTGTTTTACCTCGGTTGTTATATAAATTAGGAGAAAAAAAATTAACGACAGTTTTAAAATTAATTTGTCCCGGTATTAAATAGTGCTGATATGTTAATTAAGGCCAAATATATGGCGTTTAATAATAGATGCATATTTATAAAAATTTTATTTACGTATAAACTTGTATGAGAGTATGTATAACAATCGTAACAAAAAATCGAATATCACATTACTATATCACAAATATTATGGCATATAAAACACTCAACATTTGTCATATTTTAATAATATGTTACACAACGTGCAATTTCGCATTTTTGTTGACAATATTATGCAGGATGAATTCGAAATTAATTGAGAAAAGGATGATTCCTCGTGTAAAAATAACTCGGAAAGACAGAATCCAGCTTGGATTAAAATTTACAATATATAAAAATGTTACGATGTTATAAAATATTTTTTCTATAAACTTCGGCGTGTGTCAGGTAGCAACTCAAAACAATATTGATACTTTCATCATTCTAATTTGATAAAATAATTCTCCAAATTATTAAATGGATATGAACATTTTAATTGAAAAATGAAATACTCAAATTTAATCTAACATTCTAAATGGAGATAAAAAATCATAAAATTTTTAATATCATCGGTGCACAATCGTTATTATTACTGCATTCTGTCAAACGATAACCGGTCAGCGTCTTATTGGTCTGATTGCTTATAATTCGAAACGTGTATCTTCGTATCAATTCGTATTTGACACAAGTCAATTCAAATTCATAATACGCCTTCGGATGAATGCATTCAACTGGTTCCATTAAAATTTCTTGCAAATTTTCTCATCCATTTTGCACGTCTTTAATTTTTTCGATAAAATATAAGATGACTAAATGTTATTAATCTTTGAACGCCTTGTTACATGCAGTGATTATATTTTTTGAATGCTGTAACCGTATACAAAAATGTTTTTACGAACAAGTATCCGCGTCTATCCTTTTTTTTAAATTTTTTTAATGCAATTCATTTCACTAATACGGTATAATACAAAGAACAACGCAATACTGATCTCCAAAGATAAATATCTCGGCGTTAAAGGGTTATGAATAATAAGATTACAGTTTAAATATCACAATAACTTCTTGTTAGTCTCAAGTAATTTCATGTGAGGATCAATATTCCACTTGTGCCTTCGACTGTAGTAAATGCATTCATTCTTTCGCTCCATCTTACATCCATGTTTTTTTAAATGCAGTTCCAGATGCTCCCCCCATAAAAAAATTTTTCCGCAGCCACGGCAAATCGGTGATTTTGAGTTTTCAGATCTATAGTTCTCAGAGCTACCTAAAAAAATTAACAGCATAATCAACACAATGCGACAATAATTTCTTTGAAACAGTTAGACTGGAGAGTAGACGAATTATTCTTATGGTTCTATGTAATTTTAGAATAGTAATTAGAAAATAAGTTGCACAGCATCGAAAAATAATGTTTGCACCAATACTTTCACATATTTGAACGAAGAGTTATTTACCCTGCTTTAGAGAATTAAGAAATCTTTTTCATTTTTATTAAAACCAAAAATATTCTTAACTCGTCACCACTATTTCATCCAAATAATTAATTTTGGTATAATTAAACTTGCTACACATACACTTTAGTAACGCAAAAGCACAAATATACAATAAAACGGAACCAACTTTTTCAACGACGTCGTGATAAACTTAACAGAATTTCACTTCTCATATACATTTTTTCCGGAACACGAAACTCTGACAGTTTTAAGTTCATGCGCTATTTTGGAGTAATACAATTATTAAGAAACAACAACGATTCAGTAACATACAATAATATTCAAACGTAATAACATTGTAAGCAGAAGTAAAAAGAACGAAAGCTGTTTCTTTAATGTTCAATTTTATTTTCTGCATTTGGTTTATTCATTCAGGTCGGAACGTATTTTCGAAATGTATTTTCGAAATATATTTTCGAAATATATTTAAAATGTCGCCGCTACTGATAATTTCATTAGGCCTGTTATACAATTCGTCGTATGTCAGGACGTAGCCGATGGTCGAATGAGAAAATTTCTTTTCAAGAAATCAGCTACGTCCCGACAATCCGACAGCGACGTACAACGTATTGTAGAACAGGCTTTAGCACAGACTAGATAAATTCGCGTAAATAATTCACGTGTCTGTATCTTTTGTCGCATACGAAATGCAGTTTCTTACCGCATTCATCACGTTTGTGCCTCGTCAAAGAATATTTCCACTTGTACTCTTTACCACATACGTCGCAAGTATGTTTGCCGCGGCATCGTCGTCTATTATTACCAGACTTCTTATGTCTGGCTTTATCTGAAAAGAAAATACGCCATTAGAATGTATTCTCTCGTTTATGATAGCCTCGAGATTTATGCTCTCTTTTTCATTTAGCCGGCGTTTAAGTTACAATATTTCTTTCCTTCGGGAAGAAGGAATCAAATTTGTTGTCTATAATAAATTTTGCCAAAGTAAAATAATTGAGAATTTCTAATACTCGGTTACAAACACAAATGGACACTAAGTAGGGAAAAATCATTCGAACGTCTTAAGTGGGAGCATTACTCAAGTCGTCTTAAAACTACTATTGGGTGGGAGTAAAACAGTAATACGTCATTTTTTTATTTTACTTTATTACCTATATTATATATTCGAAGTAAACACTGGATTGTTTAACGAGTTGTGAACGTAAATCAAGTGTAGCTTGAGCTGACGACTGCGGCGGAGCTTTACATTGCACACCGGACACGCGAATTGCGCATCCTTACCGCAATCCTCGCGTTTGTGCCTCGTCAAAGATGGCTTCCACGTGTACTCCTTACCGCATGCGTCGCAGGTGTATTTGCCGCGATACCGCCTATGATAATCTTGAGGCCTGTGAGGTCTACCTTCCTTACCTGAAAAGAAAACACGATATTAGCATATGCTCTTTACTGTTGCAATCTCAGTCAGATTTATATTCTCTTTTAATCCTTCGTCGTATCTTGACGAATTCAAATCATCAACGCGCTCTCTTTTACATCCTCAAAAGGGAATAATAGATTAAATGTATCGCCTGAATTAGATATTAATATAAACGTACGGATTAAATGGGAGATTTTTAAGGTAATTCGTATAGATTGAGTTTCCTCGAAGATTCTTTCTAAGGACAAATCAAAATAGGTATACATTAGATTTGCAATTTTGAGAAATTTCAATGAAAATTCGGGAAATTCAGAAGGAGTATAGGAAATTATAGTCGACAAAAATCTTCATGTAATTTTATTTTATATTATATTATTTTATTTTTTAAATCTATTTTCACATTACGTTCTTTAAACTCGTGTAGGAAAATTTGGTGTACTCGTATTTTGTGTGTAATATATACAGTTTTTATTTCAATAATAATCAAAGTTGTTTCTTGTTCTAAATTATTACTCATTTTGTAACAATTGTCTAAGAAAGTATATGGTATCTTCTAAAAAATGTTTAGCTGCTAACAATAAGTTTAAAATACGCATAAATTTTTTTACAATCAAATGTAACAATAAATATGTTCCGAACGAATATGATACATTTAATCATTGAAATAATTATTAAAATTGTTACAATCCTTGTCGCTATAGATAGTTTTATTATCACAAAAAATAATGCAAGCACTATACAATTTTATATTGTAGTAAAACACAATTAGATGTTAGAAAAATGCATATTATGAGAATATCACACATTCAACAACGTTTTCAACTTTAAAATTATATTTAATATTACTTTTATTAAATATGTTGCTCTAATATTATGAATTAAACTTTCATATATGAGCAGTAACATTAAACAAGCAAGTTATTAAATATTATATTGTATAGTTAAAATTATTTTCCTTTATCTTTCTTCCGTTTGTCAAAAACTTGCTTGAAAAACTTGATATACTACGTAGAAAAGAAGAGATGTGTGTGAAGAAACGAAAATATAAATCAATAAAAGTCAAAGCCAGGCGTGATAAAGTTCCATTTCTTGGATTATGCATGATTATGATTACTATATTGCTTTGTGGATTTTCTTGATTGCTGTCGATTGTTCCAAATGTTCTTGCCGTTCTGGTAGAATACGTGATGGACGTTGATCATGTGCTTCTTCAACATCCACTTATGTCTAATTTTCGAACCGCATAAAGAGCAACTGTACTGCGGATCTTTTCCACACTCTTCCCGTTTGTGCCTGACCAACGACTGCATCCATCTGTATTCTTTCCCACATTTCGAGCAACAGTGTCTGCCTAGTCTCTTGTAATAGTCCTTCATGAGCTGCGTTGTATCTGAAAAAGAAACAATGAACGACACGTTAATGCATTTGAACACCCATTGACACATCTGCGAATCCGTGGAATAAATAATTATTTGCTATGTTTTAACGTGATAATTGATTATACTTGTTACTTTTTATACGACACAAATATTATCTACGCATTAGACATCAACGCGTAAGTGCGTTTCATTTGCTTTTAAATATGTCAAAGATAGTTTAATATTATCATTTTAGTTCCCTTTCCCATATAGTTATTATTATCTCTTACTAAACTGTTGATCCATATGCTTGCCGTTTCCTTAACAAAGATTTTTCTTAATTAAAAATCAATTTATTTAAAAAAAAAGTAATTTAAGTATATCTTTATTTTCACAAGTAGATAACAAAAAATATAACAAAATCAAAATTGTTTCTATTAAATTACGGGAACAGTGATACTATATTTAAAAAATGCAGATCAGAAAATGTATCAATGCTATATTTTTTTTACATTATGATGTTGAAGAAGTTTAGATTTTATCGTTTAGAAAAGTCCTTAGTTTACATGAGTCTATGTGTTGTCTTATATGGTAATTCATTGCCGTTGTCTTTTTAACAGCCGTAAAACGATTATCACGAGATAAACGTCTACAACTTACATATCGTTAAAATCTATTTTACAATATTGCTTATACCATAGACTTGTTGGAGTCTATGTTACAATAATGTTTGTATCACAGACTCGTTACAATCTACGTCATAATATTGCTTTTTCCAATGTGACGCACACTTATTCCACGCATTCCGCATTCACTCCATTGTTTTTAAATTACACGGTATCAATCTTATCTCTTAAATACTTTTCCCTGTAAAATTTGTGAATTTTTTTTCACGCCTCGTATTTCATCCTTACATTACAAGTCCGCAACGCACACAGAATACTTACGCGAATACGACTTTCTCTAAGTAAACTTTCTTATCATAATACATGTGCCTTCAGCGACATTTTTATAGAAAATGATAAGTTATACACAGGTACGAAAAAGCGTAGCTGATATCCTAGACAATTACACCACATATAATTTTATTATATTATACGCCATTATACGCTGGCGATAAAAAGCTGTAATATATTCTATTCATTGTCTCGCGTTTTTCCATTTAAGTATATTCACGGTTACGATTGTTAATATTCATAGAAATTATTATATATCAATATAAATTACCATTTTTCAAAGCGTTGCTACCCTGATATTTCAAACTAAAGATCTTTCGCATAGCTTATGTATATAGTTTCAATCCTTCGATGAAAATTCTGTTATTTTCATATCTTAAATATACAGATTGTCCAGTTGTATTTTTTAAATTAACGATATATATATGTATGTACTCTCTAGAGGTCAATCAGTGCATTCTTACTGAAGACAGTTATAAGTATAGCACTGAAAAATTCAGTGCTACACTTGTAACGGTGAATCAGTGAATATGCACTGTTTTCTGTGATAGTCCACTGATTGACTTTTAGAGAGTTTATTTAAAAGAATATATACATATATCGCGTTTATACGTAGACATCTATAAAAAATGTTTTATAAAGTCAATAGTTAGGGTGAGTTTTCATAAGACTGAACTCTTAAAAAAAAATAGAACTAATATTACCAGCTTGTTAAACTATAATAAATTCTGCTATCATATTTTCTAACAATCTCACTCTCTAAAAGTCAATCGGCGGATTATCACTGAAAACAGTGAAGACTCACTGATTCACAGTTATAAGTATACCACTGCGATTTTCAGCAGTATCCTTACAACTGTGAATCAGTGACTATTTGCTGTTTTCAGTGATAATCCACTGATTGACTTTTAGAGAGCACGTAATGACCAGTAAAAATGATTAACGCGAATAATTTATTGTAGCAAAATATCAATTTTTTTACACGGTATTTATAATTATCATTTTTAAACAGACCGTTATAATAATATTATTATCTGCAATATCTTCTGCATCTGATAATATCTTCTGCAAAAACAGCATGCACAATCATTTCCGATTAATTAAACTGTACTTGATGTTTCTTTTCGATGGCTTGACTATTTCTCGTATTAAATAAGAATGTTTTTAAAAATATTCTCCCCAAATAATACGAAAAGGAAATCCTGAAAACACGTACGATATGAGATAATCTCTCTCTCTCTTCCTCCTTTCTATTTCACTTTACCACAGAAACCGATTGCTTTCTTACATCTGATCTTACGAATAATTCGCATTTGTATACTCGTATATTCAAACAGTATCCAGAATACTGTTCAATGGGCGGTTTATATCGATCAGGTCGCAGTAATCGTATTCTTTGAGATATATGTAGGCTTGATTTTTGTCAATGACGGATTTCATTTGTTCAGTACAACGAATTATCCTATTTGTGAACGTTGTTCTCATGGCGTAGCAGATAATCTTTACGCCGGAATTTCCTGCCGCAAACCGGGCAATTGTGTTTCGGCAACACGCCACATCCTTCGCGTAGATGCCTCGTCAAGGAGTCCGTCCACGTATAACGTTTGCCACACTTGTAACATGTGAACGGCCGATCGTAGTTGACACGGCAGTGTTCCCTCTTGGATTCTGAAACAGACCGTAAAAAAGTCGAGAGGTGAGATAAATGTCGATGGCCTTTTTTAACTTTTGCACTTGACTCACATTGCGATCGGTAATGTCAATTTAACCGAATCGATCATTTTGAATAGAACAGATCATTGATGAAAGCAGCCCACTAAAAGAAAATCATCAAAGCTTTTAGCCTTTGCCATATCCTCTTTTTTTTCTAAATATCATGACTTTAATTGTAATTTAGATTTCTCTAATTTTTTAACTCAACACTACCGACAGTAATTATTTCAGATGTAACAAGTTCTATGTTGCAATAGTTAATACATATACACGGATCGTAAAAAATTTGATCGGACATTCGTAAATCTAGAAGATTAAGTTACATAGAGACCTTCTTCTTCTGAAGCAGGTGCAATTTTAATTTCATTAACTCGCATCTTTTCAGAAGTGATCGATTCGTTATAATATGTTAACACATGCTAGGACGAATAGTTAGAATAAACAATAAAATAATCGGAGTAATTAAATAGGGAAGATTTTCAATAGTGCAATAATACAATTACAATCTTTTAGGATCCTTCGATACACACTACGCGAATATGAATGGAATTGATTATCATTTTATTTTTCTAAAAAGTCAAACAAGTATATTACTGCTAGTTCTGAATTATTTATGATAGAATTGATGTGTCTCGTATTTTGATAGCTTTAGTTTACAAGCATAAGTAAGAAAGCTTCCCTCGCAAAATTATCGAACTTGTTCCTCGGTTAAATAAAACTTACGTCAATCAAATCATAAATTGGCAATCCACTGTTGGTAGCACATTATTTGCATATCTTCCTAAAGGATTATCTTTAGTTGACATTTCATTCTGCAAAGAAACTACAGGACTTAATTGAGAATAGCTGAATACTAAAATACCTGAATTCAAACGGTTTTTCTTTTTCTTATCTCTCGGTGCAGTTTCTCCCAAAATTAAGTTCAATACATTAGCAGGCAAATAACGTTGCATTAAGGGTTAGTGGTAATAATAAACTCAGTGAAAAGATATTTTCACATATTTTTATTTTTAATAAAAATAAAATAAATCAAAATACAGCGAGAACATATTTGTTTCTAAACGTGTGTGATAAGAATTTTACTTGTCACAAGTAGAAAAGATACAGCTTAACTAACTTTTAATAGACATGATTTAATATTAATGCAATGTATTATAAAGTATATGTATAACATATATGTTATTACAATATTGATATGTTAGTGATTGCTAGAATAGTTTTATTCTTTTATAGATAGGCGTTTCTTTTTAAATTATCTCATAATACTTTAAGGACGAATAATAATATACATATAATGAAATATGCACGAGTAATAACTCGAGTATAAAAAAATTAAAAAATGCTCAAAGGATTAAATTAAGCGCTATATCGAAAAAGAACGCTTAGTCGTCTCAATACTTCCTTTACAATTAACAGTAACGAGATACTTATCTATCTCAATATATGTATAGGATGAAAGTTTTAACAAGAAGAAGTAAATAAAGTAAACTATAACATAAAAGGAAATATTTAATTAAAATTGAAAAAATATTAAATGTAAAAGCAATTTGGCACCGCAAGAAGAATGTTAACTATCTTAATATTAATTGATCTTGTGCATTATTTTATTAATATTATATCGATAAGTCCTGAAGGAAACATGATACAAAAAATGTTAATTTAACAATCACAAAATGAAATACAATGCATGAAACAAATGTATCATCGCGTGGCAGTTGTACATGGAAAATTTTTATTGGCGATAAAGGATAGGTATTGAAACTTTATAATTTATGCCATAGAGCAGGATATTAATCATCGTGAGGTATTAAATTAATAAGTACAAATTGTTCACTGTTTGTGAAGCAAAGCTTGTGCTTTTATTTTCTTTTCTCTTTGTACAAAAATAACAATATTATACATGTAAGCAACATGAATAGTCCATTACAATTAGAAATTACTGCCTCACTTTATCATTGGCCACATTAAGTTCCAAATTATTACACGACTATAGGTGAATAAAAACAGTATAATAATAAGAAAATTAAATATTTACACGCTTGTGCACTATATCAATTATGAAGCGGTTGTATATTGAAAGTAAAAAGAACTTCGAGAGCTTAACATCCACACAGATAAATTGAACGGGAAATGTTTACAATGGTACAGAAGTTATTAGTGTTATTATTATCACTATTACTATCGTAAGTTGTATACATCATTGTTCTTCGGGTATTAATTTTCGACACTAACGTCGGTATTTAATATTCTAAAACTTAATCCAGTAATTGCAGACTAAATGAATAAAATGTCATGAAGAGTCAAGATATTTATTTCTACATCCGAGAAAACACGCATGCAATAAAATGGGCACTCAATTATCACACTACGACCGAGTATAATTAAAGGCAGATAAACTCATTTTCCGAAAATAAATTTTATACAACAATTAGCATCTCTCGGTGACTTCACCTAAGGCTGCCTTCGAACATTTCGAATGCTCACTGACACTTTTTGAATACTGAACATTTGATGCATCTTTGTACGAAAAGACGCCAAGTACACTTCTCTTAATATATACTTCAGAACCGAGCAGTTAAGTACGATTTAGTCAACAATTTTAAAAGATTTTTCACCTCCACCTCACTCCATTTTTCACCTGATTGTGAGATAAATAAGAAATTTCCATAAAAAGTATAATAATTTAATTTTTTTATATATCAAATATGTTTCAAAAGTATTATTCAAAAATAGTTGAATACTTGACTAGTTGGACAAATCAATGATTTAATAATTTCATAAAAGAAGACTAGAAATACATTTCCAAAATGTACTGAATTGTCGCGAAATATAAAACGCAATTCATTAAAAATAAAATGCATTTTGTATCTAGAAATGAATAATTTAAAAAGGCTAATTCATTCCTTAATGATGAAAATATAATCTTGATGACACAATTGCGCGGTTGGTCGAGCGAAACAATCAATGAGTCAATCATTATCGAGATTGCGGGATCACATTACGAATCTGTGAACCGTCCATACGTGTCGTTGGAAGTTGGATCGTTGATGGAACGCCTTGTTACAGAAGGAGCACAAGTATTGCGGACTTTTGCCGCATTCCTCTCGTAAATGACGGTTTAAGGTGCTCTTGTTGGTATAGGATCTGTTGCAACTAGGGCAGGGATACGGTTTGGGAGACGTTCGAGCACGCGCGTTCCGCAGCAACCGCTCCGTTCTACCTGAAAGCAAAATTCAAACTTGATTAACGCGCATGACATAACTCGCAGATATGATCTGTTCGTTAACTTCGCGATGCTTGTGCAGATCAGCTGAGTTTGAGCCATTATCTCATCTTCAATTGATCTTATTCAGTCAAACTACTCGGATTTAAACGAAAGTGATTAGTCTTGACAATTCACAGGAAAAAATATACACGTTTGGCAAACCAAAGGACTTTTTACTTAATGACATATAATGAAAGGCTTAGACCGAGAAATATTTGCTTACTACTTGATGTAAACTACTTTTGCAATGCCGTAATATTTTTTTTTCATATTGAAAAAGAAAAAGTATTTTAAGCATGTGAGACTTTGATTTTATTTGTTTCGATAATAATTATGTGTTTCGAACATCTTCCAAGTCTTCGTAAGGCGTATCTTCAGGTAATACTGTCGTTCGCAAATTTCATTAATAAAACAATTGTGATAGGATGTGAAACCTTCGATTATTCACAACTGTGCGTATTAACTTATAATACGCAAATAATATAATTTTATTACAATTTTATTATCGTGTACACACACATAAACTAGTAATTATAATAAAATTATAATAAACTACAATAAAACGCCATGGTCATGTATAACTAAGGCCTCGATGAATTTTCCGTTTAACGTCTAAATAACAAGAATTAGTCAACTTATCACAGAATTTTCTCGACCGCAAAATCGAATTTAGCGAAAAGAGATCTTCCAATCGTCGATCTCGAGATCATTAGCTCAGATCACTCGTGATTAAGTCTTCATTTTGATTATTAATGTCATACGATATAATCCACACCTGGATTCTCTACAATATTCTTATATGCTAGCTTATTTCAATATCTTTTTATATGACAGTTCAATTGTGAAAACCCTCTACCAGTGAGATTATAGTGTACTTATTATGGCATAACCAATCAATGAATAAACTAATGTGTCTTGGATTATATATGTAGGAACAGTGGCGGACTTATTTTTAATCGAAAGTACTAATATTTGTGGAAAGCTCTTTTTAAAAAAGATTCTGTCTATATAAAGCAAGTATTTACAATAATATAATAAAATCAATCAATAAAATTCCAAAAACAATTACATAAAAGAAATAATATAAATTTTATTTTAATTAACATAATTATATTTATTAAATTAATTAACATAATTAAATTTTAAAATTTAGAAAATGTCACAATATTAAAATATTACAAGTAAAAGAATAATAGATACATATTAACACGTGACGCGTATTTTAACATTACGAAGCTTTTGATGTGATTTTCCTTAGTTCGCATTTATAATAATATAATAAAATCAATTAAAAAATTCCAAAAACAGTTACATAAAAGAAATAATATAAATTTTACTTTACTCACTGTAATTAACATAATTAAATTTTAAAATTTAGAAAATATCACAATATTGAAATATTTCAAGTTAAAGAATAATAGATACATATTAAAACACGTGTCGCGTATTTTGACATTACGAAGCTTTAGATGTGATTTTCCTTAGTTCACCGATAGATCTGCCACTATAAATAAGAAAGGAAATGCTCATTATAAACTAGGCTGTAATAGCATAATAATAGGACAAAAATAGCTTAATAAAACTATGAATTTCGCGAAGTGCCATTCCCGATCTCAACGGAAACTAATGCTTAATTACTCTCTTGCGCTTGAAAGCTCTTTGCGAAAAGTTTTGATTGTAACCGCGTTCTTCCTTTCGATCGCACATACAGGGTGTTACGGATAAGGTGTCCATCCGCTCGTATACAGGAAGAGGGGATTAAACTGAACAGGAAAGTTATGTACCATTTTGTAAAATTCGCAATAGTTATCGAGTAATTAATTAAAACGTCTGAGCGAATAAGCGCGAGGAAAGCGGTAGGCCGGACACGGCAGATATTAAATAGCGAAATGACTTATTTGTTTAGTCTCGTAGCAATGAGGGACGAGCAGTCAGCATCATCTGAAGCTCGCCGCTCGCTTGGTGACAATTTTTTCCCGATACGTCGCTCCACCTCCCGCTATTGAACGCCTATCGTTGTTACGAGATGAAACAAATAAGGCATTCAACGTGCTTGCCGAGTCCGGCCTACCGCTTTCCTCGCGCTTATTCGCTCAGACGTTTTAATTAATTACTCGATAACTATTGCGAATTTTACAAAATGGTACATAACTTTCCTGTTCAGTTTAATCCCCTCTTCCTGTATACGAGCGGATGGGCACCTTATCCGTAACACCCTGTATATTATTCTTCAATGCATCGATTTTCTTCTTACATCTTCGACGTTGTTTCTATTCTAACGAGTTGTATCGAATTATGTCTATGAACTCGCAGTCTATTTACGACATCTCTTGAGCCGCCGCATTAATTGAGAAAAGAAAGATATTAATTACTTATTCCGCAATTTTTATATAATAAAATATGACTTTCAATAATAATACAGACTGTCACCAGTCAACCAGAAATTTTACCTATTCTTTAATTTCTCGTCAATATGTGCAATGTTTTCCAATGTATACAATAGATCGAAGTAAAGCGCAAAAAGTCGCTACATCACAATCACTATAAAATATGGCAAGTAATAATTCTCAAGTCATTATACTCTTAAAATCTCGTTGATACTTTTATAATAGCGGAACGCCTAGTTTCCTTCAAGTTCTACAAAATTACTTAGACTCTAATCAGTCCACCATTTAACGCCAGATACATCTTCCAGACGGTATCATATTTTCTTATGTGGATCTTCTCTGAATGTTGAGCTCGCGCAAAACGATCTGTATCGTCAAACAGCAAGGACTATCTATCGCGAGATAACAAATCTTCAGGGTTGCTCGTTCATCTTCAGAAGCGGCAATGGCCAAAGTTCCGCCGTGAAAGAGGTGTGTTTCAAGCTTTTCTTTATCGCGGCGCGACTTCGCCGACCGGGGGTAGCCGCCTGACAGTGATGGACTTTTTCAGCGTGACGTTTAAAGTTGGTTTTCTGCTTAAAACCCCGTTCGCAGATTACGCAAACGTATTTCGGATCCTTGCCGCATTCGTCATTCAGGTGGCGTTTCAGACTGCCCCTGGCCTTGTAGATCCTGCCGCACTTGAAGCAAGGGTACCGCTTGGGCACACCTGAGAATAGAAGCGAATGAATTATTCGATCTAATCTTGACAAAGCGGAACGGAATGAGAAGCGTGCGTGATGTTTAAAAGCACGGATGAATCTCTTCAAACCTGAAGCCCGCGGCAGAATCACTGTAAATGTGAATTAATATGTGAAAAATATCGGCGAAGGGGCTTCTATATTCCGTTAGTACTGTTAATTCTCCATATGTGCGTGTCACGGCATGACTGAAAGTTGCATTAACAAAAGAGTGAATAGTGAATTACAGTTAGTAAGTAATCTTCCAGATGCTTCCCCATGTAGAATTTCTTTCTCGCTGACAATCCTTGGCTAATCTTCATGGCAGAGGGAATAAATAGTACAATATCATACCTTTATTTATAAAGTTCTTTTTTTTCGAATATCTTCGTTGATACAAAAGCGGCCTGCTTGTAATTTTCATAAAATTAGCCTACGATTTATATAAAAAACAGAGCGTATTTCTATGGTTTTGAAAAAACGAAGAATCAGTACTCAGATCAGATATGATCAACGGGATATGGTTTTTCCGGGAGACTGATGGTCGAGATTAATTTTTTTCACGCTAGACTCGCATGTCCATTATATAGCAGATTGTCGGTTTTGGTATCGTTTCTTCGTTCGTAGGTTTCTCTTCGCCTGTGAAGCATATAAAAAATTGCGAATCAGTAAAAATAGCACAATAAAACAAACTCCACTATTAAGAAGACAAGAAATAATCGGACAAAAACTACGTGAGAGTAATTCTTTAACGTAACTTTCTTACGAAGAAACTTACAATTTTTTCCTCTTCAGAGCGTCGCTTCATAATGTCTGAAAATTGCATCTTGAAAATCACGATGACTATCGTAATTTCAAGAGCGCAACTTTTCTTTTTAAGAAAGACAAAACTCAAAATATAAACAAAGAAATGAACAAAGATCCAATGAATATTATATTTTTTTTACAAAGACTTTAAATATCTCCACGACCAATTTTCTGAGGTATTGACACAGGTTTAAGGAACAAAGGTACTTTTATAATAACTGGTTCCAATGAGGATGCAATGAGGATACAAGAAGCTTTGAGAACAATTAACAATAACTCGATTCTTAAAAAGATTTGATATCAACTTGATATATTGTTGTATATTTATTTCAGTGATGCTAGGAATATTTTATAAAATCTGTAACAAATAAAAAAGAGGAAGAAGGACAATAATGGTGAAACAAGTCATTAAACTGAGAATTTTATGAAAACACAAATTAACAATTAATATTAAAAATTTCTTAGTCGTTTATAATTATAAAAATAAGTGACTTATCTTGATAAATACAACAAAAAAATTAATAAAAAGCGGGCTTTGACAGTCAAAACACGGTTATTATTACGTGGATCATCAACTTTATTCAGCACTTAATTAATTTCACAGTAAAATTAATTTTGTACGATGCGGCTCTGCTTTGAGTTATTCGCAGCGCGCGACGCGGTAATATATAAATTGCATAATCTTTAAGTAATATTTATATAATCTTGCGTTCTCCGACAAACGTGAAGTGAGCGTATAGGAATTGGATGTACGAAGTTATTGAATTTTGTGAAGATAATATTTGAAAAATTTTACTAACGTTTATAATGCAATAATTATTAAGGAAAAATGGAATTTACTCACCAAATAAGGATCAGAGAACGTAAGATTGAAATAACGAAATCTCAAGAATTACATCGAAAAGTGAATTGATTTTTACTTGACTGTAGTTGTATAAATTTTAAAAATAATCGGTTGTACACGGACTTCATACACAAGATGCCTATTGTTCCTCCGATTGTTAAAAAATGAGATTAAAGGCTAACAATTATTGTAATTGTATTGTCAATATCGACATACGTTAATACCTTAGATCAATTATACAATATATGTAAAATTGACGAATGTAAAGAGATAGAAAAAGAAAAAGAGATTTGGCTGATGAAAATACAAAGCCTGGAGCAAAATTATTTGACAAATTGAAGCGGAGAGTACACAATTAAACTTTGACGATGACAAAAACGCACAATATACACAAAGTTGTTGTAAAAGTACATAAATTTTTGTATTTCCGCTATTAATAGTGTAATAGCTACACTTATTATGCATGTAATTTCACATACTTTTTTTACAGTGTAGGCAAGGTTTAAAACTGAAACATGTACATGATGTATTGTAAATACAATACTTTGTGTCGGTTTGTAAGTTAATCGCATTTTTTGGAGAAACAATGATAATCGCGTTTTGACTCTCAAAACTTATTTTTTGTAATTTATGAAATTTAGCATCAAGAGTCTTTTTATTTTAAGAAAAATGTTTTCTTTCGAATTTGTTTTATTTCACCAACAAAACTGTATATGACATTCCGCTTCTTCTCTTCGATTGATTTTGACTCTTCAAGCTTGTTTTCCCTTGTACTTTCACACACCTAGATCGTTATATCTTTTAGTGGCGGGCGTGCACCTGGTTTAAGTGCCGTTTTAAGTTGCCGCGTTGCTTAAACAGCTTTTTACAGTACCTGCACCCGTACTGCGGTGGTTTACCACATTCCTCTCGTAAATGTCGAGTCAGAGAAACCTTCCAAATGTAGCTTTTACCACAGAGAGGGCAGTTGAACGATTTCTGAGACCGTGATGATCTGTCAGTCATCATATACTTGTTAACTGGAAACGACAAAGGAATTAATGCCAATCAGATAAATCGTAGAAATCATTTGATTAATTCAGACTAGAAAGTCAGAAAAAAACTTTGTTGTGAAGTTATAATATGTGAGAATAAATAACATTTATTATTATTAACACACATTAATTCGTTGAAACGTTCCACCAATCTATGAGTATGCCATTATCTGATAACTAAACGAGATTTTTTTTATTAATTAAGTAATGTTGAGATGCTCTCAATTAAAAATTCATATTGCTGGGAAAAAGAAACATTTATAGTAATAAACAATCTGCTCTCTATACATATATGCATAATAAGTAAACAACGAATTTTTATTAAACAGGCATAAAATACCTGTTAAAACAAGATAAAAATATCTACACTATTAACCTCGCAGCGTGGCAAAAAGGTATTTGTGCCACCACTGTAAGAAAACGAAGTTTTTTAAATTTATAATACGTGATGATTTTAATATCAAAGGTACACATATACGTCATGCCACTGGTGGCACGTCTTTTTCCTGCACAAAATATGCATATGTATTATACATAATGAAGGGGTTAACAAAGATTTAGCATAAAGTAGGTCTTCAATTTAGCACTTTGCATTACCATTATAGAGGATTTTAATATGCCATTATAATGTGGATTCTAATTATTAATTGTGCAAAAGATTTTCATGAATTAAAATCGATTAATATCTATATTGTAATGAAAAAGAATTAAGATAATCCCTTTTTACACACTCAGAATTTAAACACTTATGTTATTTTTATGTTTTATTAAATGGATTTTTATCTTATTTATAACATAAAATTTCACCCATAATATTATGACATAATGTAACGAAATATTAGAAATAATTGGGCGGACATATTCATGATAATAAGCGGTTATGAAACTATGAAATCCTTCACCATGTTTTATAATAATTACACAAAAATCTCAAGAGGCGAATATCACCACATCGATTGTCATCGAAATAACACACTTTTTATAAAATTATTTCTCAGACATGCATATTATTTAGAAAATGCTTTATTTTGATAACGCCACACCATATATTACTAGACTTTGCTACAAGATCGCAATATATAATTGCGTACAATTCAATAAACTTTTTATTTGTTTAAACATAAAAGAGAATATAAGAGAAAAAGGTATATTTACATAATTACAAGTCTTAAAAAAAATATACATATAATTAGCTATGTGTGATTCATTAAAACATAATTAGCAATATCATTTTTAATTTTTATTTTCATAAAAGCTGGGCTCAAGTTTGACTGCATTATCGTGCTCATTTCGTACATCTCAGACAGATTTGTTGATGTAAATTCATCCTGCGCCAAGCTTGATTTCCGCTGGATTACGTCACCTGAAAAAGAAGTAATCGATCGATCAGACCGGTTATTTTATGCTTTTTTTCCCACTTACCAAAGACTTATGTACGATGTCAAAGGACGACACTGTAGCGATCATTTTGTCACGCGTAGATGCGTCATGTGCCACAATCTATGATTAAATTGCATCCATACAGAAATCGGGTCTGGATATATCTATACAGAAATTAAATTGTATAGAAAAAACTCAAATAAAATTTCAGTTTATATAGAAAAACATTTACATAAATTCATAAAACAACGTTACAAGTATTGCTGCAAGTTATTAATAATTGTTTTAATCTTTAAATATGTAAATGAAAAACAGATTAGAGTCATCAAGTTTTAATGCAAATCATAATTAATACTCCTGTGACAAATCAAACAATTACGCAAACTTTCGAGTGAGAAAACGATTTTGTAATACAAAATGAAGTAAAAATTACAAACAAGACGTTTTGAGCTAAGTTGTGTTAAACATTTTTACGAAAATCTTTTAATAATTTCTCATAAACTTTAAAATATACATATATTTCATCGTATATCTTCCTTTTAAGAATTTCTGGATGAAATAAAAAGGAGATATATTAATATAATTATAAATATGTTTCATTTAAAAAAGCAATAAAATAACGAATATATTGTTATTCAAATCTTTATATTTGCGTACAGATATTTATTTTTATTTTTATCGTCATAATAGAAAGAAATTTAGCCGAACCACATTAATTTTTGTATTAAAAAATAACAACGACATCAATTTATAATTTGACTTAACATTACAGTCTCTATTAATATAATGATAAGTTAAAATGTTACATTCTTTATCAATTTATACGGCTACACTGCTTATTCCAAATCGCAAACAATTCATTTAATTATTTTAATATTATTAGTTTCAGTAGGACTCTATTCTATCTATAAGTCCTACGTCAAAT